TCAAGATTGCAGTTACGCCTTCTAGTGGTCATTTCAGAAACTTGAAAATATTTTCCAGGTTTTTCTCTTGGCTGTTTTAGTAATAACTCTTTTTGCCACCAGGATAGATTCCCAGATACAGTACCTCGCATTCTTAGTTGACCACACTGAATATGTATAACATCCAAAAACACAATATCTCGTTTTCGAAATTTTCGCTATTACGATACTTCTTCGCCCAGTGGCGTAGGAAGTAAGACAACAGATAGCCTCGTGCTTGCTGGTCGCTTTGAAAGGCTGGATGTTGTTTTGGAAATGGAAATGGGCTATGCTGGTTGGCTTCGCGCAATCTTAGCAGGTTACAGGAGCTTTCAGACTATTGGAGTCACACACACTCTCTATAGCAGGAGCTCCCAACCACGGGGGCGCGCCTCCCAAGGGGGGCATAAAGAAATGTCAAAAGGGGCCGAAAGCGTTTGCATTTTAGAAAGAAAAACAAAAAAAATAAACAAACAACATTAACAAATAACATTACGATGTAATGTTTAATTATATATATTATATATTATATTCACTTATTCTATCAACCGCTGTTTCAAAACCCGGCGTCGTCAATCGCAGCTTATACAAGTTTCGACAAATCACACCATGAAATCCGCGCTCCGCTTAACACTAACCACTGAGAAAACAATTGTGTACCTACCAGACGCGGATGAGCATCCGTGACATTCATTCCCACAAACTTGCGAAAATTTTGACGTTTCGATGTACATGTTTTGTTGAGAAATCGGTTTGAGTGTGTCAAATTATTGTGTCTCACTGTTAAAAGGTAAGTTTGTGTATTTACAAACTTCAGTTACCATTTTTTATTAATTTACTAATTTGTTGATTGAGTGGAGACGCGTTCATAGATCAGCCATTGGGACTTCTTTACCACATCACAACCAAACCAAAGTGGCGAAATAATTTTGAAACGACGAACTTTAAGTACCTAATATTGATTCCAAATGTATTTAAAATTACTATTATAACGTCAACCTGCCTACAAAAATATAAATATCCCGGTGGCCAATATACTCTTGAATAAATACCTTACGTTATTAAGATAAAATAATGGGCATATAATAATTAGTAATTACATGTAGGTACTTTGCTTACTTATTTATTACTCATTTGTTTTATTGTTATAGGTGCAAAATGGCAGCGAAAAAAAAGAAAGTTTTGCGAAGATTACGTTAAGTCTGGATTTATCTTCATAGAAAAAGACGAGTTACAATTGTCTCAGTGTGTGATATGTATGAAAGTTTCAAGTAATGATAGCATGAGGCCCAATCGCCTTGAAAGGTATTTGAAGCAATAACATCCTACTCTGGTTTTGAAGACGAAAGAGTTTTTTTCTTCTAAAGCAGGATGGGACTGGATAAATCGGGAAGTTATCACACAGGTTCATCGCAGCATCTCAAAGCTTCATTTGAAATAGTTTTTATGATAGCAAATCAAAAGAAATCTCATACTATCGGTGAAGAATTAATAAAACCATGTGTCCTAAAAGCCACGCAGATAATTTTAGGAGAAGATGCAGAGCAAAAAATGAAGTCTATTTCTCTTTCGAACAACACAGTCAAGCGTTGAATCGATGACATTGCAGCAGACATAAAGTCACATCTAATTAACAAAGTAAAATTATCGCCATTTTTGCCATCAGTTGCGATGAATCCACCGGCATCGTTGATTGTGCACAGTTAATACTTTATGTTCGTTACATCGGCGGAGATATCATTCAAGAAGAGATGTTGTCCTCCCAATCTTTGACAGCAGATACTACATCTGAAGATATATTTAATTCAATATTACCACTACTGAGCGGGGCCGTGTCAAATGCTTGTTCCGGAAGTTGTTGTATCCAGTATACAACTTGTGCCCGTTCGAGTGATTGTACACGCGTTAAGAAATACCTCAGTACCGATTGCCGGGTGGCGGTACAAGTCTATTTAATATCATTAACATGTAAAAAGAAGGTGGTAGACAAGGACCAGTTGACCGAGCCGGACCACCCGCTAGCTTTTCCCAGGGTGTCTTATAAATGTCCGCATGTTTCCACACCTAAGCTATGCAGTCGGTTATCCTCCAAAACAAAAAAATTAATGATGATGGATCCCTCGACCACTAAGAACTCCGGACGTAAACTCACTCCACTCTCGGAATGTCCGGATGGAGGGTGGTCTCGAGGGAACAACATCGAAGATAAATCGTTGTTCGAATATCTGCGGGATTAACAGCAACATTGATGCTGTTCATCACTACCTGCAATCCAATTGTTCCGCCGTGCTTTTCTTGGCGGAGACAAAAATCTCAGAGTCTGCACCGATTAACCATCCTAACTTCCCAAACTACGAGGTGCACTCCAATCTGAGAAAGAACGGGGGAGTTGTGGCTTCTGCCCGCAGCAGTCTTTCCGGCTCCAGAGATGTTTCTTTGGAATCAGACCGGAAGGGCATTCTGTGGCTTCGCCTCAACTCCAAAACGTCACCCAAATTTATTTGCTGCCTTTACCGCTCTCCCTCGGACCATAACTGGGATGACCTACTCGAATACCTCGCCGTCCAGATCGACTTCCTGAACATCAATCACCCCGCTTCAGAGGTAGTTCTTCTCGGTGATTTTAATGCCGATAATGGGCTTTGATTGGGCTCAAATAAGACCGATGCACCAGCTCGTGCAGTTGAAGCGTTCGCTCTTACTCAAGGGCTGACCCAGCCGGTGACGAGCCCTACTTTTTTCCTCCGCGTCTCGTCACACGCCAATAGCCTGCTGGATAACTTTCTGACCACACTGTCCAGTCCCCCCTGGGTAACTCAGACCACGGTGTTGTGGAGGTTAGGTTTCGGTCAGAACTCGCTGTGGCAGCAGAAACTCGTACAGGCCGCAAAACTTGACATTACGGACATGCCGACTGGGAGGGGCTCACAGACATCTTCTCTAGCTTTCCTTGGAAAGATGTTTGTTTCACTGACGGGGATGCGTCGGCTGTCTGTTCTTCGATAACCGAAATTATCCACCTCGGAATGGAGGAATACATCCCTCACACAGTGAAAGTGCCTAAACCAGGGTCCAACGGCTGGTTTAACAAATCGTGTGACACTGTTTGCCAGCAGAGATTAAGGCACACAGAACCTTCTTACAAAACCTTACTGTAGAAAAGAGGCAAGCCGACGTCGAGTCCAGAAACAAATATAACGAAGCGGTTCGCAATGCCAAACACCGGCACGATATAAAAGTTATGCACAGGGTAATGTCGCAGCGCAATGGCAGTCGGTCTTTCTGGACGCTAGGCATGCAGATTGTAAAAAACTTCTCACACAGTAGCCTTCCACCACTTACGGGTCAGGATGGAACTATTGTATTAGACTCAACGGCCAAGGCGGAAGTCTTTGCTGCCAACTCCACCATGGCCGTCCCCCCAACGCCCAAGTGTCTTCAATTCAAAGGGTTCCCTACACTATGCGGGAGGTAACATTCAGGCATAAGACCGTAAGACGAGTGCTCTTGTCGCTCGACATGAACACAGCTTCTGGACCGGACTTAATACCTGCCATTGTACTGAAGAGGTGTGCAGCGGAGCTTGCTCCAGTTCTTTCGCTTCTCATCCAGATACCTTATGAATCCGGCACCTTACCAGAAAACTGGAAATTTGCTCATGTCCAACCCATCCCAAAAAAAGGATCTAAGACCGACCCTTACAACTACAGGCCTATAGCTCTGCTTTCGGTTATAAGTAAGGTGATGGAGAGGTGCATAAATCGCGAACTTCTGGAGTACCTCGAACGTCACAGCTTGATTAGCGACAGGCAGTATGATTTCCGGCACCAAGGATCCACAGGGGACCTCATAGCTTACGTCACGCAACTGTGAAGTAAACTCATCCAGTCTTATGGTGAGGCTTACGTCGTTGCTCTTGACATCACGAAAACGTTCGATCAGCTGTGGCACGCTGCCCTCTTAAGGAAACTTCCATCCTATGGCCTCCCAGAAAAGCTTTGCAGATGGGTGGCTGACTTTATCTCTGGCCGCAAGATATCTGTCGTAATTGACGGGTTCTCCTCTTCGTCCCACAACGTGAACGCGGATGTTCCCCAGGGATCGATCTTGGCTCCGACACTGTTTCTCTTACATATCAACGACATTCCTTCCTGCACGGTCAACCCAATCCACAGCTTCGCCGATGTCAGCATTCTACACGCAGGAATTCAGAGTGACAAGCCGATCTCTGCCGCTGAGCTGGAAGAAAGAAGACTAGCGATGACTTCCTCTCTGACAAGACACCTGGAGGCTATCACTGCTTGGAGTCGCAACAATCGTGTACAGTTCAATGCTTCCAAAACACAGTACTGTACTTTGACAAGAAGAATTTCTAGAAATGAAGGCAGTTTCGTCCATGAAAGATGACTTCCATCTTTTAACATTGTCGAAATTTTTGATCAAAAGATTGCCTGTTAATTCGACACTTGCCTCTCTTGCTTTACGAATACTAGTTCTTTTTTCTTCGGGCTTTTCTGCTCTAGTTTTAATTTAAACTAAACAGCGAAATCGTCTTGATGTCGATAGCGACCTGATGATAGCTCTGACAAAAACAGAGCCTAGAATCTACCAACTGGTACAGAACATGCAATCTCAAGTGTCTCATTAGTACCTACTCTTATTTTATTCAAGTTTTTCGATAACAAACAATTATTGGTTTATTTACACATTTAAAGTTTCTTTATTAGAATTAAAATAAAAGTCTTTGTATCTATATAACGTGCGTTTTTTTGTATTTATTGAAAACGTAAAGGGGGCATGAAAATATAAATTATAGTCCGGGGAGCCTCGACAAAGAAAAGGTTGGGAAACCCTGCGCAAGACATAAATTAAATATGATGTCAAAATTGAACTTGAATAAGTTCGCCGTTGGGACAGAAATGTCGTAGAATAAAAATAAATTCTAAACATATGATTTGATTCACTCAGAAACGTGGGGGATTAACACATACATTCTTGTTATACGCAGATAAACAAAGATTACTACTGTTTATTTTCAAGCGCTGCCGCAATCCCATGTCAAATATTCTCAAGTTAATTTCGTTTCTGTGAGGTTATCAGCCATGTTATCAAAACTGTTATTGTTTTATTATCCCAATCTGCAAAACTTAGCATAACACTGTAGAATTTTAATATTTAGTGATAGGTGTGTGACAAGGCAAATGTGATAATAGGTTCGAAATATGGTCCAGAATACATTTAGGATGAATAATGAGGGAAGGTACTGGCCACAGGTTTTAGCAATAGGCGTGGGTAGGTTTTTAAATTTATCAAAATAATATATAGAAGGTTAAATGAAATGACTTCAAAATGCATGTGTAGAGTACGATCGAACAGTCCATACTACTAGTGGGTACAGTCAAGTAGAGGAACTAGACACAGTCACTAACTTTTAAAAACTCTTTTCATTTGTAATGTGGCCAAAAGGAATGTCAATTAATATGAGCAAAAAAAAAAACAAAAAATTCAGCATAAAAAGCATTACAAATGATTCAAATTAGTAATTTGGAAAAACAAGCATCGTAAATGATTTTGTCGGTGTTTCCGCTAGAAAATGTTATTTTTGTTGTGTTATTTGTGAATTGCAGTTTTCATTCCTTTCAGAGAATTAGCAATTTTTCCAACACTAAAATACCTATAATTAACATCAAAGGTCGTCAATAGATAATATAACAAAGTAATTCATAAAGATATAGAGGGTGCTTAATACTCTTATCTTGCTGCTTTATTATTATGATTGTATATGATATTATGATTTTTGTTATTCTGAGTTTGCGCAATAGCGAGACAATACACAGATATAAAGAATGGCGTCGAGTAGATTTCCTTGCACGTCCCACGCAACCCTGTCATTAGTTCATAAGCGAATATGTTCAGCACAAATTAGCCCTTCAAGAAAAGAGTTAGCCACGAACGTGAATAACAAGGAAATTAAATGGATCCAGTTAGTCTATCAAGTCCGTGCAATTAGTGCACAGAAATTTTTCTCTGCTCTACCGACATTACTGAACATATAACTCTAGCCATCTAGCGGTCACGTGGTCACTGGTCTATTGAATGTGAACTGAGGTATGCGCTCTCGCAGTGATCGATTCTGGTGATAGGTGACACTTTGCGCTGTCTTATTTCGATAAAAGCAAAAGTATTGAAGAAAATATTTTATTCATCGTATAACAAATACTGAGAGCTGTAGTACTGTAACCTCAAATAGAAAAAGAATATGTCATCAGTTGATACAAAAGAATGTAAAACTCTGAATTAGCTTTTCATTTGTTAACAACGGCTTAAGTCACAAGAGTGTCCTAACGGACGTATCTCTTAATCTGGTGCAGGGATCCGTAATGGTGCATTAAAATACAAAATACGGTCCATCGATTGTACAAATAAATGTCACTGAAGACCTTTAGTGGAACAAAAATATAATTTTCCATCAACTGTTGTAGTTTGAAAATGCTTGACCTCAAGTATTAATCAGAAACTTGATAATCCACCAATAAGTTGAAAACGGGTAATTAAATTCCAAATATCTAGTGTGCCGCCGAGCTGAGAGAGTAAATTGTGAAAACAACTTGTATACTTTCTATTATAGGTTCCCTGGGATGTATAAACAATGGACTCCAATACGGCTGGACTTCACCCTTCATAGTCAAAATCACCAAAGACAAAGAAAACTACGATATCACAGAAGATGAAGCCTCATATTTCGCAACGATGCCAGCTTTAGCTATGATGATATCTTGTTCGCTGTTCTCGTACCTGACTCATATCATAGGACCTAAGAAGACTTACCTTTTAGGAGCCTTTCCTTATATCATAAGCTGGATTCTTTTAATGGTAGCGAAGGAGGCCTACGTATTCTATATTTCAAGATTCTTCGCTGGTAAGTAAAGCAAACATTGTTTGCAACAATATCGAGTATTTTTGTATCGACACATGCTCATCCGTTTATCACCTTATTACGTGAAGCAAATCGCAGTCTGCAGTTTTTTGTCAGAATCAAGCTTCTATAGACACTTTCAGGCAGAAAACCTCAACAGTATTACCATGTCGGCGAGTTCTGCCCAAATTGTAGTATTATCCAGAATGCTGGAGCTCCCCAGTCACCCACTTTACTTCCTACCACGGTAATACTTGCAACAATTCATCATTGTGGACAGCATTGCGTTGAATATTCATACCTATATTAGTTATCATATTATTCTCACCATCGTACATATATTACACATTTGTCTTCGCTTACGTGGTCGACAAAAATTGAATATGACAGTTGCGATTGCAAAAGTCTGTTTATTCATTTACTGCATTTAAAATTAAAATAAGCACTCGATCGAAACTCCGATTCGCTTTTCGCTGCCTGTCCAGGCATTCCTAGTCCGTTGACCAATAGGGACGTTCCAATTTGAACGTCGTGCGCTGGTATTTGGTTTGACGGGGAGTAAACGAGATTTGAATAGACAGTGGACCTTACACCGTGAACGCCACCAACGCCATTTTACTATTATTTGCACAAATTACTGCAACCCGGATTTCGACACCATGGTTTGTAGGCTATTAATAATCAAATTCAAGCGAATAACCAAAGGAAAATGGTATTTACCATTTTGGATTGGTATTTACCGATCCTTTCAAGCGAGTGTGGTTATCAGTTCTGTTATGAGATCCGTGACGTCATGAATCAGCTGTTATATGGCATATTTATTACCGCACAATTGTTGTACAGGTATTTACCCAATTCCGGAGTAGTTTTATATTTCTGGTTATAATTTAAAATGTGACAAGTTAGAATTTTGCCGGGTATTGGATAATTTTGTTTTACTTCAGCTTCCTTTTTGGGAAACTTGATACAGGCTGAATTCAGTTGTAGCCATATACGACAAGAATATTAAAATATGGCCATATAAACTCGCTGGATGTCCACCTGTACCTATACGGTTTTACTAATATCTTTTTTCATCGTTTTTTCCTATAATTTCTGCTAACTCAATAAATGTTTTCTTTGACATGCGGAAACGTTTAGAGAATTGAAAGTTGTAACAGCTACAAAGCCATGGTTCCATCATTAAAAATTATTATCTGAGAAAAAACATTTCTCCCATTAATATTATGAAAGGTTTCTTTTTTAAACTTTCCATACACTGTTGTAAACGAAAAAGCACCGATTATTGAGTGATAATAGAAATAATCAGAAATTATTTACGCGCTTTTCTAAAATAAACAACTTGCAAGATTATAGCAGAAATGTTGGTTATTCGCTTGGATTTGATTTATATGAAGTACCCGTATACTTGTGAAACAAGATATGACCGAGAAAATGTGTTTGAGTAGAAAGATTGCTATTTGATCATCTATATCGATGAGGTAGAAACCATGAACCGCGAAGAGCTGTGTTGTATAGTATTTGTGACAACATACTGTACTTTATCCGTAGGTATGACCGATGGAATAATGTTTGCCTCATTCCCGATGTACATGGCGGAAATCACCGAACCAAAAATTCGAGGAACATTTGGTAATGGCCAAACTGTAGCCATTTACTTTGGCCAATTTGCAATAAACGTCATTGGCACTTATCTGGATGTCAAAAAAACTTCGTACATTTGCGTAGTAGTACCAGTATTGTTTCTGATTTTGTTCCCCATGATGCCAGAGTCACCGTATTATCTTATCAGGAAAGGCAAATATGAAGAGGCTAAGGAGGCTTTGAAATGGCTTCGAAGGAAACCGGATATTGAGGAGGATTTTGCTAAGTTGAAATCGGATGTTCAGAGGCAAACTTCAGATAAAGGTATGTATAGAATAAAGGTTGAGTACTTACGACTAAATGACTATTTAATGGCATATCCTTTAGCTAGAAAATATTACATTTCTTATGATTGAAATAGATTGTTTAGATCAATTTTTCAACGATGACACAGCTTATCCTCATTGTTCTTTTCTATGTTATAAAGCATTTGACACTCGTACAGTTCAACACATTCAAAACCTCGGAATTTTTGTCGAAGGAATTAGCCGATAGGATTTGATTTTTATTCCGCACTATACAGTGTGTAGCAACAACAGCCTGAACGGTCCTGTACCACGCTGCTGGACTCTGAAAAAGACCATACGTAGTGGCCGAAATGTCAGTAAAGAGTTATTGCAATATACATGGTGTTTCAGAAAAACGTACCAGTATTATTAGGGTAGAATGTAAATCCAAAAATAACAAAAACAGTTTCTGTAAATATGAATCCAAAGATGTTCCCCCACCCAAATACAGGGTGATGAAGTTTTATTTGCGAAATTGAAAAAATATCAAGCTAAACCTGGGATGTAGAAACTGGGGTACCTGGACCCCTAGTAGGAAATATTTGCTACGGCACTGACCTTTCCAGAGAAAATAAGTGCACCTTATTCAATCCCATTCAATTTTCCAGAAATTTTGTATTTTAAGGAATGTTTTTCAGCACACCCTTTCTGAAGATATTTAGGTTTGTCTATTTAAGGTAATATCCTAAAATATTCTTATGAAAAGATTCACCTTCCTATTCTGAATACACCGTCAAGCTTGATATTGGATACACTATATGGCATATGAAGACATCTATGACAACTCGTTACAACATTAATTGAATAATATGCGTGTCTTATCCTCAATCAGTAGCGTAGAAGCTTACCATTCAATAAGCCTGTCATGTGCGCGCGACTAGCTTTGCCCGCATATTAATTTTTGTGTATAGATAAAAAAACTTCAAAGCATCAAAAATGTTCATTTCAAAAATAAGTAAAGCTAATATGAATTAAACACGACAAAGATAAACATTCTATTTGATACAACTTACGTGGTTAAGTCTAAATTTATGAGGACATAACATTGGGGAGGACAAAAAATCCAACTTTAAGGAGGTGATGAAGGTAACCACCTCTGGATTCAACACAAGCCTATGCTCAACAGCACAAAGATTTTCTGACTCTTTTGACACCTAGCGTAGTACGAACATTGTTGAAAGCTTTCTGTATACTTCGTTCTCACACTTCGTGTCCGAGGTTGCTAACGATTTCTGATATCGTCTTTGTTGAGCTCACTTAATTACCATGAAAACCATTAACGTGCATAGACAAGGTTTAATGAATGATAAGCTTCTAAGCAACTGACTGAGGATAAGACACGCATGTTATTCAATTATTGTTGTAATGAGGTGTCATAGCTTTCTTCACATGCCATATAGTGTTTCCAATATCAAGCTTCAGGGTATTTTCAGACTAGGGGAGGATAAACCTTTTCATAAATACATATCTCCTAAACAGATTATCTAACAAAAACTGACAAAATTCATGGAAAATTGAATGGTACTTTATAAAATGCACTTCTTTTATCCGAAAAGCTCAGTTTGGAACCAGAAAAGTTTGTGTGTTAATTGCTGATGATGTGTTCACTGAACTCAGTGTCTTTTAGATATATTTTTGTAAATTTCGATGGGGGAGCATCTTTCGACTCCTATTTAAAGGAACTTTTTTTTGTTATTTTTGGATGTACTGTCTACCCTAAAAATATTGGCACGTCTTTCTGAGCTTGCTTTGACCAGAGAAACATGGAGCTGTACCAACATGAAAACCACAAGTTTCAAATGTTGTCGATTTCAGCGACTAATTCGCTCGTCTTAATTTCCACCAATCGAAAACGCGCAATTTTGAATTATAAATGGTTTCTAGATGGAAAAATTATATGACAGAATCTGTCAGCAGAGTTTACCCGCGGCAAAGCTTGACAGCTGTTGTCACCAAAAAATTTGCAATACCTTTGATAACAAGTAATTACGGTCTCCTAGGACACCAGAAAACGACTCTAAACAATTTTTCTGATTTTATTGTCAATAAATTTCGTAATATTGTTTTTAAACAGTTGCAGAATTCTGTTACTCATGAAATAGTCTTGTGAAATACGATTCGGGCATCTAATCTTTTACTGTGTAAAAAATCGAAAAAACACAGTGTAAAGTAATATTTTTTTAACAAAAAACTTTCGTGCAGATGCAAAAACTCTCGTCTTTGACTCGGACTTTTGTCGCCACCAGCCCTAATGTTACTTGTTAAAATATTACCTAACAACGTGATTTCTGAATTTTTTCGGAAAAATTACATGCCTTTATATATTACTCATGAAAAACTGTCACCAGAATCATAATCTACATACCCGATTTACCCAACAAACCGGTTTTGATCTAAGTTGCAGAGTACGTTAGGAATTTTGAAATATCGTCCTTTAAGCTTTGCAGCTCCTCGATGCAAAATTTCCATTTTCTTAAAGCGTAACTACAAGCAAATGAAACTATGCATACCAGGATAATTTTGGTCGCTGATGTCGAATATAGCCATAAAAATGGCGTCAAGGAAGTTAACTCAACGTTTCCCGCTCAACGCTGTCATCATTTCATAAAGGATTATTATTATGAGAAAAAAGTCAACTACGAATATGTGTACCACATCGATCAAACAGGCCCAATTAGTCCATAGTCCCACCCATTCTTCTCTGCCCTTACTGCTGCAAGGTGAGACTAGGCGGCAATCGTCGACAGGATTTTGTGGGTAGCAGTTTTTTGCATACGGCAAGTGCAACTTAACCGCGATAAGACCATTTGACGTTTCTTTTATGAGCAAATGAAGTGGGGAAATCTATGATGTATGATATACACGGTCTGCGAAAACTTGAGAAATCTCGAAACTGGAGATACTAAAGACCAAAATATGTCAATTGATCTAAGCATACCTTAGTCCAAAAGTTGATAATTTGCGAGATACAGGGTGTCAAAGTTACAATTTTATCTTCTATTTTTCCTTATTGCTTGAGAAGCATTTCAGATTTTGACGTAAAACTCGGTATAGAGAGGTTTTCTAGTATGAGAAACAAGAATCCGTTATTTTTCTTGGCCAAACTTCTAGAGGACGCCACTTACAGCACTATTTCGGTAAATAACTTATCATAACCTTTTTGTGCTACCCTGTATACAACAACTGACCGAAAAATTTTATTTCCTCGTATATCCACAACAAAACACTTGTTAGAAGGGTCTAAAGCTAATAGTTTCGAGATATATTTTTTTTAAGTTCCAATGCATAATTTGTATCATGATGATAAAACATTTTTATAACATAATAATCACGTAGCTTTGGATAATATCTGAGTAGCGTTACTATGGTTTTTAACAATAATAAATGAGGATGGCAACGAAACTAATAAACGAAAATAAAAATTGTTCAAAATGAGCACCACCTTTCATTTCCTGACTATGGTGGAAAATTCTTTGTTTGAGATCATCTACAGTTTCCACGGGCGTATTGTAAACGCGTCATTTTAAATCACCCCAGAAGAAGAAATCCATAGGGTTTAAATCTGATGATCTAGCAAACTGTGAGGTATGTTCAGGTCAGTTAACATATTTTGGTCTGTAGTATCTCCACTTTCGAGATTTCCCAACATACGTATATCTACTAGCAAGTTCGTATAATTGGTAGAGTTCGAAGTGCGTCAATATTCTTTTGAGAAAGGATTAATTTACACTCTCCACCTCCCCCTACAACTCCAATTTTCAACTCCTACAAACATTATTCCAAAAATAATCAGGAGCCTCTGGCCTGTCAGACGGACCGACAGACCGAAGGAAATGAATGACATAGTTTTTCGTGATGCGCATGTCATAAAACATCCAAAAGATATATCTTATTTTTGAAATTTTCCATGCTTACAATACGCCAGTAGGCGTGGTAGGTAAAAATGTTGTATTCAATCTGAACAGCGATCCATCTTTAAAATGTGCTAACCCTGGCCTCTTCTTATTTCAGGTACTTGGAATGAGCTGTTCACCGTAGAACCAAACAGAAAAGCACTTTTGGCGGGACTATTCCTCAGGTTATCCCAACAACTCAGCGGCCTGCAAGTATTCGCAGTCTATACCAAATATATTTTCGAAAAATCTGGAAGCAACCTGGACCCTGACATGTCCACAATGGTTTACGCTGCGATGGTTCTGATTGTGAACACCTTGACTTGTTTCATGACCGAGTATATTGGAAGGAGGAAGGCCTACATGTTCTCCTTAGGCACATGCGCTGTGGTCCTTTGGATATTAGGAATATACTTCGTTATTGACCAATTCTATCCCCAAGTAGATCTTGGGTCTTTTCAATGGGTTCCTCTCACAGGATTGATATGTTTTACAGTATTTTCAGCATTTGGTGTAACTATGATACCAACTTTAATGTTAGGCGAACTATTTTCTGCTAGTATTAAACCCAAAGGCATGATGGTTTTGATAGTTGTATTTGGAGCTGGAATTACGTCTATATACCAACTATTTTATTATTTGAACACAAAGTTTGGAATGTATTGTCCATTTCTAGTATTCGCAGCCTGTAGTACTGTCTCGTCGGTACTGACCAAATGGTTGGTTCCTGAGACTAAGGGAATGACGCTAGAAGAGATACAGCAGTATTTGACGACGAAGAAGAAATCTTTGACAAATGTGGAAACATCCACGAATAGTCAAACAGCTATCTAGACAAAATTTGAGGTATAAAGTATTGCAGTATGCATGTAGTTTCAGAATGTTTGTTGATTGTACATCTGTAATGCCATTCATTAGTTATTAGTAGAAAAGGAATGTGATGTGATGTGATATAATCTTTACTTCACAAGCATCTCTGAATGATGTAGTAACCAGACTGATAACGAATCTTGACAAAAACCAATGTAGCAGAAACTTTAATGATTTGGCTAAATGTACTACTGGTTGAATGTTAATAATATTAGTTTGACATATGGAGAATAAAAACGAACTATTATGTGATGTCAAAACTACAATGTTTGTCAATAAGCTAATCCAAACGAGCATTTATACAAGTATTTTTCCAGTACCTCAAGCTCGTATTATCAATTAATACTTCATTTCAAAAAGACAACATTTTTATACTTAATTATATTCCTTTAAAGTGTCTTTTGCTGTGTTGTAACTCCGACATCTTCAAATCTATTGATTTATAGGGATATGATTTTATTCTATGTATTGAAACGTACAAGATGCTGATATTCAGATTTTGATGAGTACTCACGAACAAAATTTCCGAACTGAAACATGACCTGTTCAACTTAATTAACGGGCATGACCTCATGTAGCGCTTGATGTTCCAGATCTCTTAGGCCCGCTTTAGGTTAAACATCAAATGGGAACTGTTGATGGCGTGAAGTGGTGGAGTGGAAATATGCAAGTTAGTTGAAAGCATTCTTTTATTTCCTAAGTCGCATATGTGCCAGCCAGAACAGTTTAAATTGTCTACTGTCTAGTATCACAGTTTTTCAATTTGAAACGTATAGGGTTGCCGCTTAGAATGTCTTGTCAGTTAATTTGAAAGTTTCCTGTACTCGAAAATACTGCTGGTTTCACTTGCATATACGTAAAAGTATCACTGGTATATCACACAAATCTGAAAGAATTATTACTTTAACTTAAATCTTAAGGCAGTTATGAGATTTTCTGGTTTGAGTGGTTTCAATGAATACAAATAGATTAGAAGAAGCTAAGCCTATATAGTCAACGCCAAACAAAGTGGCGTGCACGTCATCAAGGTGGGTGTGTTGAAAAACTTACATTGTTGCCAAACTTTTTGTAAAATAATAAAATTTATTATCTACATATCTAGGTTTATAAGCAATATTAACCTCAAATGAGAACAAAAATAATAGTATAATAAAATTATAGATCTGTACTTGCATAATCATTAAGTATGACAATTATTGATGAGATGACACTATGAAACTACCATATTTAATTGATAGCTTAAAGGTACTGAATAAAAATCCAAATGGGGTCCTCCAAATTTTATGCATGGTATTTATTTTACAGAATTCATACAGAAAAATGCATTCTAAAATTAGGTAAACTACTGGTGTAAGCTTTTTCTGTACAATAAAGTTAGTCGGAGTTTTTTTCTTCAGCGCTGTCTGAATCTGAATCTTCATCACTCTCAAAGTTGATTATTAAAGGTTCGATGTCTGGTCGATCAAAAATTCGTTCTCTTTCATACCATTTAAAAATTTCTTGCTCAGTATGTCGAACAGTATTTTTCCACATGTCTGGGGTAACCGTTTGTAGAGCCTCGTTCCACATATCCAAACAGTCTTTTTCACTGTTACCATCTCTACCAATATGTCTGTTATAGTAACCTTTTGCTATGCCCCAAATTAACTCAATAGGGTTAAATATACAATGGTAAGGAGGCAGACGAAGAACTTTGTGCCCATGTTGTTCCGCCAATTCATCAATCACGTATATTTTAGGTGGTTTGTTTCTAAAAAAGCAGTTATTTTAAGAATAGGAATAAACAAAAGAAATATAAACTGTCGACCAAAATATATATAATTAAGAAGCATTATGTACCGAGCAACAATACTCAATAGCTCTGGTTTAAACATTGTGTTTAAAAATGGTATGTTTTGATTTGTCAACCAGTCTTGGATATTTTTTTTGTCCATACATTGTTGGGCACTTTGTTCAATATCATGCTGTGATAAGGGGCGTTATCCAGTATAATCATAGATGGACTCTCCAATTTTTCTAATAACTGATGTTGAAACCATTTCAAAAAATTGTCCTGGTTCATCTCTCCATGGTAATCGCTCAATTTTGTTTTCGAAGAAAATATCGCTTCACTACCCTCAATAAACCCATTTTCATTTCCAGCATGTAATATAATGTATCTAAAATATATTAGTTTTAAATTTTATAGTGCAAATTGTGTAAAAGTACATACCTTTTACCATCTGTTTTAATAGCTTTCACGCTTTTTTGGTTTCCATTTTGCCAAGAGCGACCTATGGTCCCATTTTGAAATATCCAAGTTTCATCGAGGAAGACAAACTGGTATAAGGCCTCAACCTTGGCTTGATTGTATTGCCTTAGAAATTCCACCCTTTTCAAAGCTATACTTGGTAGTTCCATGAGCCCTCGTCGCGGATTGTCCTTAAGCCACTTAAATCCAAGATCTCTAAGCAACCGCCTTAAAGACGTGGCACTACCTTCAAATAATGCCCTATCTCTTAATCGAGACCATAAAGTTTGTATCGTAACTTGTTCTTCTGAAACCATGTGTAATATGACATTATAATTTAGTTAACAAATTAATGCAAATTTCTGATAAGTTATTATAATAAGATCTTACTTTTGTGATACATATTATAGATCACTTCTCGAATGGCACTTGTATCCAATGTCGCTGTGTTGGTTACACGTTTAATATAACTCCGCTTTTTCTTGGGCGATTCAAAATTTGCATCACTTTTCACACCCTCGGAAATACGACTAACTGTCCTTAAACTAATTTTTAAAGCAGCAGCAACACGCTACAAAAAATGAAATAAAATTTCACTATTATTAATATACATTACATATAATTATTAGTAACCTACCTCGTGAACAGCATTTAAAGGCAACAAAGGCCCGTTGTTGTCCCTTTCTTGCTCAAAGTAGTGCATTAACGAGGCCACGAGTTCCTTACACCGACTATTTAACTGTTTGGGCATCTTTATATACCAAAATTGCCTTTATCTACTCGTAAAATGAATAATTTTGTTTTGAAACAAACAGTTGTTGATTTACAGTATGCGGGGCCAAAGGATTTATAAAGATTTGAAATGCCACAAATTGATTCAGTGTCAAAATTAATACAAATGTCAGTTCCCAGTTTAAATAAGTTGCAAGGTGACAATGTGTCAACGCTGCGAAATCGGTTTAGTGCGTTTACATGTCGATAAGTGATTGGAGCGTTTGCAAAACATTTTATTTCGCATAATGCGTCTAAATTTATCAGAAAGCAACTTATGTGATATTTTAATAACAATGTTTATATGACTATTAACCATAATAAGAGAGTAATGACCATTTTACAATTTATATATCACATTAATATGAAACTGCAATAGAGCAATTGTTTGTGATAGAAACCTAGGCATTAGGTCGGGGAATTTTTATCGTGATGACGTGCACGCCACTTTGTTTGGCGTTGACTATATGTTTGTATTGCATTGGCTAGCCCTGTTCGTACAGATGTCGCCAACCTGTCAGGGATCGTGTCCAAGATCCCGCCACACAAATTCCGTTCATTCTGCTACGCTTTAAGGTGAGAATATACATGCCAGTAAAATAGCATGCCAGTGGCCAGTAACTTGTATGCTAACTACTTGTCCTACGACATCCCAAAATACACATGCTAGTTTTGGATATGCCAGTCTGTGAAAGCTTTCCTTTATCTTCTTTAACTCTTGGTGGTAGGTTGTTCTTAGGTTTTTTATCTTATTTTTCATAAATTTCAATGTTAAATTGTTATCAGTCATTTGCTTCAATAAAGACTTGTAAGCATTGTCTCTAGCGATTTTATTTTTATACAATGGAGATCATGCATTCCATAAACACGGATACTCCCTATACTGCATAACAAACAATAAAGTCTTTTCGTCTCCCCAACGAGCCATTTTGCCCGGAACTAAACAAATAGTTCTATAGTTCAAGAATCCGTTTTTCACATGCGAGTTTCTGGTAACGATGTCGTTCACACACCTTTGAACATGACTCGCATGTTTCCTCCCCTCCATTCCCTCGACGAAATCCTGCTACTGGCATACAAAAATCAAACGTCTTGCGATCTACTGGCGTGCTATCTTCTAGCGTGCTTTCTTGCTGGCAAAGAAAGTCACACATGCAAGTAGCACGCACAATCCAGTAACTGGCATGCTTCTGTGCGTGTAACAAGCATGTGTATTCTCGCCTTTATAGAGAGAATTTACAAAGCCGGGTATTACGTTTCTTGAAAAGTGGCATGATGTCGATTTTTTTGACTTTGTATTGGTTTTTTGTGACATTCTGTAGGTTTTTTTACAAGAAGTTAACTCAGCACTAGCTGATGGACACTTGTTGTGAACTCGTTTTGTTTCCTAAACGTCTTGATGCTTTAGTTATCAATGTCTGGCTCTAATGTGATGTAAAATCTGCTTCCGCGATGGCATTACTGGAGTTCGAAGCTGTAAGTTGTATACACTACAGCTAGAAAGAAAGGGCTATGCATAGGTGCTTATTGAGAAATTATGTGCTAATAATATGTGCTGATGATAATTCCATTGGATTCTTGTCTCAAATACACTCACTTGAGATTCAAAACTAGAAATTAGTTGCGCATCCACTTTTTCTTCATTCTGGAATTTACATATGCAAACTTGGTGAATTCAAAAAATGAGAGAGATAAGAAAAGAAAATCCCTGGTTGGTGAAGGAACAGGTGAGAAAATATGCTACAGACAGGAATATTTCTGAAAGTGCAAAGGTTTACAGGTTACCTTTAATTTCCAGTCATTTAAATTTTATAGAAATTTATTTTGCGATGTCAATGGAAAATACAAATCAGCACCTATAACCTATTTCACGAGTATCCATCACGGTAGAATAACATCCGATTATCTGCTAATATCTCAAGATAGACAGGATACAGACGAATCCGTCAACGACCGGTAGACACAGCCGTATTTTCTTTTCGTTTTTTTGTACGCTACTGATTCACTTTGTACTTGATAGCAGCTCTTTTATTTAGAAAAGTTCATTTGCATACAAAAAACAAAACCCCACAAACATGTTTTACTAGATTTATTTATATCCGATCAGTTATTGCCAATGTTGCAGACTAACACAAAAATGTCACTTGCTAATCAGCTGTTCATCTCAGTAGACCTTAAAGCGTGATGGATACTCGTGAAATAGCATACAGATGTGAGGCATTGCGAAAATGTGTGATGCGTCATTACAAATTTTTCTGTGATATGCATAATTGCACACAACACAAGGAAACAAAAAACGAGAAAAATCGTAACGTATAACTTTGTACATAACCTGTTTTCAGAAACGACAACATATGAATAGCCCGGAGGGCACAGTTAATAGTTATAGTTCGTTGGTAGCATATTCAGTAATAATTTTCACACACAAATATTACTGATTTTATACACATGCAGACCATAACACATAATCATCTAGATGCGATGTTACTAGTCAACCAACTTTCTTTGTTTTACGTCTTCTCAGAGATGAAAACTACAGACTACTCGTCTTCACAAAATATATGTAACCAACAATGCGTGTAGCTGACTCATTCCTCCATAGATGGACTCTCTCAACGATCCTAGTGAGCAAACGTGGAATGACTCTTTGCACTCTAAAAATTACCTAGTCTGCAAGATGACATTTTATAGGTTTTATTTTCACGTTTTATAGATTTTTTACATAATACCCGTGCCGATCCCAGGCACAGTCACCGACAAGTCACCGACCACTGTACGAACAAACGGGTTGTCGCCAAAATTGCGTAGCTTCAGTGTATACTTTTGCCTTATTTGTCTACTAGTGTCTACCAAAGTGACAGCGTTGTATCAACATAATAATCACGCTGAATCTACCTTCATTAGGCTTGTGCCGCTTTTTGTAAATTATTTAAGAACCACAGTGTCTTGAAATCGTCTAATACCTCAATTGTCTGCAAACTTTCGTAATATTGAAAAATTACACTATATATCTACCTATATATATATATATATATATATACGAATTTAATGACAGATCTGTCAAAAAATTGATGCATGTCAAGTGCACTTTGATTTTCACTGCAGACTATGAGAATTAGAAGAGTAACAAATTCTTGACTGGCTTCTTCTACCGAGTCTGAATTCGTTGAGTGTGCAGCCGTCCGCCCTCGTGCGTCCGGGATCGGTCGTGACGTGACATGACAGAAGTTCAGCTTCTGAGCCACGTCACTAGCGCGACCGGAGGACGCGAGGGTCCTTGCAAATTTCATTTACCCTTACCGTCCAAGTTGATCAGTCGCTATAAGTTTGATTGAATCTTGACATAGACTGCTGTGCGATATTATAGATAAAAATTTGTCGGTTGCGCACAAATTACAGTTTTCTTTTCAAGATATAATTTCTTTTGTTTTGGGACATCACGTCACTCTTAGGCCCGTATCGTCAGTCGTCCCTACAATTAATTGTAGGGCGCGTTTATGGCCTCCTTGATTGTCATAGTTTTCTACTTCTCCGTGTCAGCGCTCTATTTTCAGGTTATGTCACAAACATCTAAGTATCGTGTAGATGAAGGTTGAGACTACATTTGCATGAAATCTGCAATAAATTTAGGCAAGTGGTAATGCTAGAATAGGTAATCAAAGGAAGTAACACCCTTATTAGATCGAGCAGGTTACGTTAATCCTGCAATATTCCTTGATCAAATTAGTAAGTTAGTATGCCAAAAGTCACTCCAAAGAGCGCATGATTAATTCAATTGAATGCAGCAAGAATGGCTGGTCGTGGAATGCGTCCCTAATTCGTTTGGATAACTTCTCTAATGCTGAAGTTAGAAATAATTAATAAAGAAGGAAGCTTCGTTTTTAGAGTTTTTCTTCTAAATTATAATTAATTTTCGTTATCACTGACTCTGTGATTTCATTTTGTTCATGCAAGTTCTAAAATCTATTTCGTGAACTCATTTATATTCAAAAAGTCATACAAACTCGATATAAAATTCGCAAATGCAACCTTCGTTTTGAAAATCTGCCAAAATCCGTAGAAACAATCCATTCGATCGAAAACTCTAATCTATCGATAATGCAAGCCTGGTTATTTAAAAAGAATCAGTGAAAAGAGAGGA